AATTGTTCCTCAACGGATGCTGAAATGTTTCATTCCATAACACGTAACTATCTAAATTATATAAATTGTATACCTAATATTAAAGTTATCAAATAATTTTTATTTTTAGGTGCTTTGACTGATGTATATAATGGTGATGGTTTACCAATAGAACCAAGACAGGACTTGTTTACTACATGTATGTATTTATATTTAAAAATATTAATAATTAATAATTGTATAAAAAGATAGCATAAGTAAAGTAAAGTTTATTTAATTATAATATAAAATATCATTAAGTACTATATTTTAATTTTATACTTTTTCAGTTGATCAAATATCAAAGGACAGCAATAATGACCAATGTATTATTAAAGAACAAAATCAACAAAATGATCTGAATAAAATCATGTTTGAAAATATTACGACAATACTAGCATATGTTAAGAGAATCGATGGGAAACTTAATGCGATGGAATGCAACTCAAATACAAGTTACTCAAGTATGAGCGTGGAAACTAACTTCTTAAGTTTTTTTCCAATGAAAACTGTTGAATCTCTTGAAGAAATTGAAAGTAAACTTATATTGGACACTGCATTTGAAGAAAAATTGGTACCTAAATAATATTTTATTAACATATTTTTAAAATACATTTTTACTTAATTGAAATTTATTCTTTAGATAAATTGTGTTACTCAAATTGGTGGAACTAATATTCCTAATTTTATAAAACGAGTTTATTCTAGACTTTTTACAAATCAATTAGCAACATTATACTCATGGACCGGGTTTAGAAATAACAAACAGTTACAACATCTAAGAATAACTAAAATCATAAAAGGTAATCTATTACTATATAAACACTATAAACATAGGTATATTTAATATTTATACATTCACTGAACTAATTTACCTTCTACATACCTATTTGGGGTTAGAGAGAACTGGGATAAGTAACATTTTGCATTCAAGTATAATATTAAAAGAATGTATTATTGATTTAAAATTTGTAATATTCTAGATAATAACTATGGCATTAGTTAAATAATAGTTAAATCTAGATTTATAAAAAAATTTAAAGAATGTCCTAATACTTCTTGGTTAAAAGAAATTAGTACCTACCTACTTTTGTTATAGTATGTATTTATATTAAACTTTTGGAAAGAGCAGGCAGGTTATCACTATTAATTTTACCTAAATTAAGTATGATTTAGAATATAGTGTGTGTATGCACCACTAACTCATTTTGTAAATATCAAGCAAAATTGTTTGAATCAGTTATTATGTTATTTTTCAGATGTATGTATGAAAAACTTCAAGGGAACAGAAGTGGAGTTTGTAACCAATGTTAAGAATTGGTTTAAAAATGGTAGTCAACGCCAATCGAGGCAAAAACAATAACTATTTTATTTTTTTAAATTTTTAGTTATTTACAGTATTAAGCCCAAAGTGTATAAAGTTTAAACACATTAATTATTATTTTTTTTTTTTTATTATTATTATTAATTTGTTATAATTATTTAAAACTAAATTAAATAAACATAATTGGTTCCTATTAATTATCAAACAAATATTTTTAAATTTTTATAACTAGATTAGAAAAAAAAAAGACTTGCATTTGATGTCAAGGAGAAACTTCTTACGAACCGTTCAAAGTGGGTTAACTGATCTGTTACCAGCAGTGACTCAAAGTTTTGTGGAAGTGGAACCGTTAATACAAGCACCTAAACCACACCAAATAAATAGCTCTCTAAACGCTCCGAGTATAAGTAATATTATTCCACCATGGGATCTATTCATTAATCGTGATACTACAAAATGTTGTATTGATGATGGTAATCCTATTTATTTTAATACTAATAATTCTGATAATATTGAAAAAATGTCGCTAGATACAAAACTAAGCAAATGGATATTACAATTTCATGTTTCTCACAGTTGTGTGAATGCTCTGTTATTAATATTAATATCAGAAGGACATGATCTACCTAGGACTACACGTACTTTACTAAAAACACCAAAAGCTAAGGATCATAGTATCATAAATATACATCCTGGATCTTATATTCATCTTGGTGTAGAATATATGATTACTAAGTTCTTAACAGTACATATAGACTTGTTTGATAATGAAACCGTAATTGAACTAGGAATGAATGTGGATGGATTACCTATTACATCTAGTTCTAAGTCATGTCTCTGGCCCATTCTCATTTCTTTTGTAAATATAAAATGTTTATTAAACACTGTAATCCCAGTAGGACTATACCATGGTAAGTACAAAAAACCATCTTCTAGTCATGAGTACTTAAATCTTTTTATAAATGAAATGAAACATATTATATCTAATGGAATACAAATTAAAGAAAAAGTTTTGAGGTTTAAGATTGTGCAAATTGTATGTGATGCCCCAGCAAAGTCATTCATTTTAAATGTAAAAGGCCATAACGCGTATCATGGGTGCAACTCTTGCACTGTCGAGGGAGATTTCATAAGAAAACGAATGGCTTATTTAGATTTAAATGCTCCTTTAAGAACAGATGGCTCATTCCGTGAAAAAAAAGATGAGTTTTACCATAAAGATGAAAGTCCTCTAGAAGAATTGCCGATTGATATGTCATCTGCAGTTGTTTTAGAGTACATGCACAATATTTGCTTAGGTGTCATGAAAAGGTTGATAATATTTTGGATAAAAGGTAAAAAACCAGTACGCCTTGAAAACTCTGAAACCATTTCCGAAGAATTAAATAATATGAAGACTTTTTTACCAACTGAATTTAATCGTTTGCCAAGGTCTTTAGAAGAGTGTGAATACTGGAAAGCTACTGAATTTAGAACTTTTCTCATTTACACAGGGCCAATTGTCTTAAAAGGAAGATTGAAAAACAGTCTGTATAAACATTTTATGATTTTAAGTTGTGCCATCAGATTATTAATTTCTCCTAAAACATCTTATACTTATAATAATGTTGCTAAAATGTTAATTAAACAATTTGTTAGTGAATATTCTACACACTATGGAGAAGAATATGTAGGCTATAACGTACATGGGTTAATTTATGTTGCTGATTTCGTATTGATGCATGGGAGTTTAGATACATTTTCTGCATTCAAATATGAAAACTATTTACAGTTTTTGAAAAAGAGTTGTAAAAACTCTAGGTATCCACTTGAAGACACTTATAACCGTATAATGGAACACGTTAATATTGATATTTCTTCTGTTGCACCCAACTACCCAATTCTCAGAAATGAAATAAATTATGACCCTTTAGTTAATAAATCAATTGATGAAACTTATTATAAAGAAATTATCTTAAACAATTATGTAATTAATTCGAAAAATTTAAAAGATAATTTTATTTATATAAAAGACCATGGTATAGTAAAAGTAATAAACATAATTCAATTGTCAAACTCTAAAATTCAAATTGAAGTAATTAAATATAATATATCTCCTATGTTCCAAAATCCTATTTCATCAGATATAATTAAAATGTATTATGTACATGATATAATCCCAAAACCCCCTTTAATATCAATTAATATAGAATCAATAAAATATAAGTGTTTTTCTTTTCCAATTACTAATAATAAGTCAATAGCTATAGCATTGTTGCATACTACATAATATTATTACCATCATTATTACCTATATTTTAATTAAATATACCTATAGTTTATTGATGCTTAGTTTTTTAATACCTGTTGTAATAAATAACTTGTAAAATATAATATTTACTATTGAATGTATTATGTTCTATTCTTTATTCAAAATATATATTTCAATACCTACATAATTTATATTGATATATTGTTTTTAAAATATAATAAATTCATTATTTGTCTTAGTTAATGTTTATTTAAACATTATCTATAGTGTGTGTGGCCAAACTTTACTGTCCTTTTATACATTAGTTATTTAGTTAAGGTAGTTAAGTAAATACTTGTATATAGCCATAGGTACCTACGGTATAAGTATAATTTATTGGTTTATGAGTATTACGGTACAAGCATGGGAAGTGCCCATGGAGCTGAAGAACCTCCCCCCCCCTGACCATCCACAATATACATTTTTTAGTGTTGTTTCATGTAATAATTATCAATTTATGATCATAGTGGTGAATGGTGATATAAGCGAGCTACATTCATATTTCATATATAGAATATTAACTTAATTATTTCAAACCTAATTTTATGTCTATATTCTACTGAGTGGTACTAATTTATTTTCGATCCCCCCTCCCCTTCCAATTTAAAAATCCTACGAACATCAGTATTCCACTGACTTTAAAGTTGGTAAAGTACATAATATTATGTATATTAATTA